TAGTTATTTGGCCCACAAATCCATATGACCATGTTGGTGGTGCTTATGACACCTCTTAATATTAACTCTTTCAGACCCATGTACACCACAAACATCTACAGATTTTAAATTATTAATTAAGCTAGCATCTATAGTATTTTTTGTGTGATAACTTGTTTTTCAAATAGCCTGCCTCTGAATATAAGGTCCACTTGTTCTAGTCTTCCTTTACCACCAGAATAAATGTAGTTCTGCCTCACCAATTCCTTTCAAACTCTTAACAATCTTAGTCAAGTCACCCTTTATCTTTTTATATTTCACAGCATATAAGCTTTGATTATGTCATCTCTCCTCCCAATCTAAGGCCTGAAACTATGGTACCACTCTGGTAAAGCTCTGTTCCACTCCTTTCCAGGATATGAAAGTACATATGCTTTCTAAGGTACAGTACCCAGAACTGTATACAGCACTCTAGACATGATTTAACCAGGGCTTTAGAGTAAAACCTCCCTCCCCTTTATAATCACACTCTTTGGTTATAAATGAGACAATGCCATTCACCTTTTGTTTGATTACCTCGTTTTAAAGATCTGTCCTCCTGGCTGCTTAAATCTCTTTGAACTTTCAATGTTTCACTTTTCAAAATTTAAAGAATGTTTAGATTCTTCTTTGGCCCAAATTGAAAATAACATCAAACGTAAGTACATTGAGTTTTATCTGTCATGGTTTTGACCAAGCATTTAACTTATGCATTAATGTCTGCTTTCAATTTTATTCTCCTATCTATATTATTTCCTATGCTATCAATCTAGCTGCTTTGGTAAGCTTCTATCTTCTAAGTAATTAATAAATACAGTGAATATTCAAATCCTTGTGGATGCCATTCATGGTTTCCTTACAGGTCATTACTCCTACTGTATCTATATTCTATTGTCCATCTATTCTCCTAATCAGGGTAATGTTTGCTTGTTCCCACAAGTTTCTATTTTAATTAATAGTCTCTTCTGTGAAATCTTAGCTGCCTGCTAGAAGTCCCTATAAACTACTTCCATACGTATTCCACAAGCCATTAGGAGAAAAATTCAATTCGGGTTATTAGAGGTCACTGGCCCTTTACAAAACCAAGTTGGCTGACTCTAAACAGTTCAAATTTCTCTAAGTGCCTAGTCACTTGTCTTTAATTATAGATCCCAATAACTTTCCCCTAACATACGTTAGACTAATGGATCTATAATTTCCTGGTTTCTTTCATTTACCTCCCTTCAGCTCTGTAGATGAAAGTGTAGATTTCAATTATGTGGCTTCTTCATAAGTTTACATTGTTCCGTTGGTGCCTTTTCAGCAATGGGCAAAACTAATAGTCACCCTCACAGGAGATACAAACAACTTTCTAAGAGTTAATTAAGGCACCGTTCAACTGTGACTTTATGTCAGACTTTGTCTAAAGCACAATGTGCAGAATTAAGGACAAAATTGATCTTGAGACCTCTGGGGCCTCACTTTAACAAGTCTTGCTCGAGTAGGAATGAGATTTTGGATGAAAAGGAAAAACTGATCTTAAATCCTTTTGAGAGTTAAATTGTCATCCTGGGAGCGCTGGTAAGACTATACATTTGTCAAACCTGAGACAGCAAACATGCCTGGTAATTACTCTGGCGTGGTGCTATTTTACTACAGTTCACTGCACATGATTCCTGCTTTCTGACATATTTCTGTGCATCAAAAGTGGTGCAGACTACCCAGGCTGAATATTTCATGTCTCAGCTAAATCTTCTCAATTGCTAACATTCAAATCAGTCAGGTTCAAAGAATTTGTTTTTGTTTTTGTTTCTGATTTCCAGCATCTGTAGTTCTTTGGTTTTTTGTTTTGGCTTAAAGAATTGCCTGAGGTCCAACTCTAGATAATTAAGACAATTTAGACATTTGCGGTTAGATTTGTTTGGGGCTAGGTGTCTGCCAGAAAGACCCATCACCTGCATTCTAATTCCAGTGTCAATCAAAGATTGCATAACATTTCAGTATGTTTTTAATTGTGTTAAAAAACATGTTGAGCAGTTTGGTTTATTATTCCTAAAATTACTTAAAGTTATTTTAAGCTATCTCTAATTTAATATCTAAAATGAAAAGATGAACAAAAATAAAATCTGGGTTCAATCCCCCTTAATGGCATACTGGAGACATAAATCAATTTTCCATAATGTTATGATCCCAAGCAATGTTATTATTGGACAAGTCAGCTTGCAAACTGAAATAGGTCTTGATAGATCATTTTATGCTTTCCTTGGTAGTGTCTCACTGAAACATAAGCAAACAATGTTGCAAATTTGTTTTCAACAGTGGAATAGCAAAAGGAATGAAGATAAAATAGAATAAACCAGACCATTTACTTTTAATGCAAACAAAGATATTGAAACACGCAGGGAAATATAATACCATTCATCACCAAAACGCCGCTTTTCACATACCAAGACAGTCCTGTATGGTATACAAATGTACCCCTTGTATAGTACTCATACAAGAAAATCCTTTTCTCTGAAACCTTGATGGGTTTAATTTGACTTCAATTTGCAGTCTGGAAAATTGTTTCCTTAAGCTTAAATGCTCCCAGCTTCAAATAATCTTATCAAGAATTTAGAGCTAATACAAACTCCTTACTCGAAAGTAACCTGGATATCTTCTCCCTTTCTCAGGAACAGCTTTACACATGGAAACTTCTGCAGGGCTGCCCAAAACTGCAAGTAACTGAAAAGATCCCTCTCTCTCTCAGCTATAGGTGCTTCCCCAAGCTTCAAAATAAAAACACAAATTTCGAACAGAAACCTTGACGCACAGTTTTTTTTAATACCTTGCTACAGTGTGAATCCTCCTAAGTTAAATAAAAACAGATTAATTCTGAAAATTAGCCCTTATACATTGTTTAAAAAAATCACCATAGCTATTGAAACTCTGACAAATTAATTATTAATTCTTTCAGACGCACAGAAAAACACATATGTCACTGCTTCAAAATCCAAAAGTTCAAACATTACCCAAATGTTATTTAACTTGTATCAATCTCATGGTCTAAATCAGAGCAATTATTTAAATACTTTATTTTTCAATATTTACGAAGAAGTAGCACTGTCCTACTCAAAGCAATAGGCAATGTTTTTGGGTTATTAGTCTTTGGAATTCAGTTTCACTGAGTGCAGTAAAGGATGGGATGTTAAATGTATTCAAGGGTCATTTTGGCAGATCTGATTGTCAAAGCGTTTGAATACAACTAGACAGGGAGGAAAGTGGAGTTAAAACCACAATCAAACAAGTTATAACTTTACTGAATGGTGGAGCATGCTGAGTGGAGGCCAGGCTGCAATACAAGTCACTACAAGTGACTCAGGGAGAGTTGAGAAGACTGCTGTGTTGTTTAGAAAACTTGGTTTGGGGATCCATTGCCAGCTCCAAAAATTAAAACAAAAGAATAAAACATAAAACATTTCTCCAGTCTGCACCCGTCACATTCCCTTCACCCTAAATGTGCTGCTCATGCCCCATTCGTGCAGCCCATACCATCTAATACCCTGGCCTGTTACCCCCTCTGCCTTGCTATCCAGCCCCCCTAGCTCATCCCACCCCATTCCACTCTATGCTCCGATACCTATTCCTCAAACTCCCTATTCCATCTTTTGTTCTTCTAACCACCAGTCTAATGGATCTTTACACCCAATATACCAACTTAGTGCACATGCCAATCCATTCATCACCCTTTCCCCCTTCACCCATCATGCTGACTCGTTTAGTATCCACCAGTACCTGTGGAGAAAGGATAATGTTGTATTACTTTGAAAGTTCTATATGTCAGACTTCAGTCTAATGAGAAATTAGAAAACAGCATGTCCTGACAAGGATGAGAACTGTGACAGTTTGGAGGAAATTCTTAAAAATTAATTTTGAGAGGTCTTGACCAGATAGGTTTGACTTCTTGACAAGCTTATTGGTTGTTTGACACATTTGACAGTTCCACAGGATTTTAGCAGCTTTCATGTACAATCTTTTCTCCTGTCAACAATTTCAAAGAACACTGACACCCCTTTCCCTCAATACATATCTAACCAGCCACTCCCAAAGAAAACCTCACCATCACACCCCTGGTTCCATAGGTTTCCTGGGACCATATTCACAAGGGTATCTGAACTCTTCAAATAGATACTTTAGCTACTGAAAATAAATAAATATTCTTAGCCGGTCTGTTCTGCACACTCAGTGATCTACACAGCAGGGTTACCATAATGGCAATTAAGGCAGTGAATCACTTAAATGGCCATCCATACCTGGGAATAGGGCATGTGTGGTGCCGGACACCACAAAACCCACCCTGCGAAAATCATAAATGACACAATGGACTTATAATGCTCAAGAATTTTCAACATTTTTGAACACACAATATCATGACACAGGTTTTCCTTCACTTTGTGCCTTTTTTTTGCATTCTAAGAGGAAACCTTTCCAGTCTAATTTCCTGTGGCCAAGTTCAGGAACTCACTGCAAGGAAAAGTAAGGTGTGAACCAAAATCCGACTGTAGACTGTAGACAAAATCCGACTGTAAATACAACAGTGTGGCTCTCCCTCCAAGCTGTCCCACTTCTTCTTCCTGTCAGAGACCACCTGTTTCCAAATCCTATTGAATTGGCATGTGAAAAATTTATAAACATACCTAGCATTCTGCCAAGTATGATGTTGTACACTACACACCGAGATAACATAATAATGCCAAGAAATGAGGGCAAGCAACAACTTTTAGCTTAATTTTCTGGGAGATAACCCCCTTAATCATCTTAAAGGGATGTGTTTAGTCATATGCTTGCTTATCCCTGTATAAGTTGACTTTCCTGACTAAATTAACACAATTCTTTTTATAATTTTTCTCATATCATTTCACATCATTTTTTATGCATTTCTCACTTCTTGGATTATTGCTGCTGTTTTCCTTCCTTTTCTGCTCCATGTTTCGATGCATGATTTGTTTGCTGCCATGACCCAGACCCTGTTGACCCTTTAGATGTTGATTTGTTTCATTTGTTTGGTGATCTTCCTACCTCGATCCCAGATGCCTCCACCCCCATGTTACCACCTGTAGGTGTGCAAGCAGTTGCAGTCAGTCACGACTCTGTCAGGGTCAGCTGGGCAGATAATTCTGTGCCTAAAAACCAGAAGTTGACAACAGATGGACGTTTTTATACAGTTCGATGGAGGACAAGCTATTCTGCCAATGCCAAGTACAAGGTAATTTCTATTTCAAACTGCTTTGCAACATTTCTAAGTGTTTCCTCTCTTAAAATTACTTAAAAGAGAATCTGAAGCTTAGACTGTTTGAAGTTAAACCTGAATTGCTTTTTGTTAACAGTGATTAATTCAGTGGGTAGTCATTGAAATATGTTTCCTCGATATAAAAAATAGGAGGGAGGAAGAGGTTTTCATGGTGTTTGGCTGATAAGTGAATTCCTAGTATATTGTATTGTTCATATATGTATTATTATTCTACACTATAGAATACAAACTAAACGTTCCAACTTCAAGCTGTGCTGAGGTGTAAATCTCAACCAACATGATGGTTTAATTAGCCTCAAAGTCAGTTGGCTAGCTTGCAGTCTGGCTGCACTTGCACAGTGCTCTGCAACTGGAGCAGGATATTGGTAAGACTGCACCTTTTGTAGAATCCCTACAGTGAAGATCGAGGCCATTCGGTCCATCAGGTCTGCACCAACCCTGCAAAAAGCACCCGTCCCTATCCCTGGATTTACCATGACTAATCCACCTAGCCTGTACATCCCTGGACACCACAGGACAATTTAGCATGGTCAATCCACCCTACCTGCACATCTTCGGACTGTAGGTGAAAACCGACCACCCCAGAGGAAACTCATGCAGACACGAGTAGAGCATGCAGACTCCGCACAGACAGTCCCCCAAGGCTGGAATCAAACCTGGGACTCTGGCATTGTGAGGCAGCGGTGCTAACCACTGTGCCACCATGCCAACCCCAGAGATCAGTGTAAAGTTTTAGATTTCTTATTTATGAAAAATAATTAATTGTATTAAGGAGATGAGGTTCTTTTGACTGATTCCTGGGATAAATGGGTTGTTATGAGGAAAGATTGGACAGGCTATTTGGAAAGTTTTTATGAATGAATGATGATATTATTGAAACATATCAGATCCTGAAGGAACTTGACTGGGTGGATTCTGAAAGGATGTTTCTCCTTGTGGAAGAGACCAGAACTAAGGAACGCCATTTAAAAATAGGTGAACCTCCATTTAAATCAGATGAGGAAAAATATTTATTCTCAGACTGCTGTAAGTCTGTGGAATTTTCTTCCCCAGAGATTGGTGGAGGCTGTGTCATTGAAGTTCCTCAAGGCAGATGTAGATAGGTTCTTGATTGACAGGAAAGGAAAAGGCTGTAAGGTAGCAAAACAGGAAAGTAAAATTGAGGTCACAATCAGATTAACTACAATTTTGTTGAATGTCTTGAGCAGGCTCAGGGCACCAAACGCCCTCTCCCTGCTCTCAATTTTGTAAGTTCATTTGTTAGATGACCATCCACAATTTGCCATCTCAAGAAACTCCTTTGGAGGCTAGGAACAGACAGTAGTTGTGCCTGCTATTACAGCGCAATCAATTAAAAGGGGGCGCTTTGAGTTGTTGAAACACTGTATTCCAGACAGATGCAGACCCATGGACGTTTTAAGACAGAAATGGTACTGACTGGAAGGTTAGTTAGAGGTCAAGCCCATGGCTTACTACAGTCCGAAAAGTAACATATGGCCCTCAGTTAAAAAGTCAGATTTGGATTATTACAGTCCAACCTATCAGATCCTGAAACTGATGGTCAGCCTAATGCGCCCTAAACACAGTTGACTCCATTTCAGGACAGACAATGCTCAAGAGTTCTGCTGACTGCCTAAATCAGGCTTGTAAATAAGTAAAGGGGGCCGAAACCATGTTCAAGATTTTTCGTTAAATATTATGGTGTTAGTGGCTTTGAGTCTACTCAATGTTTGGAGCAGAATGCATGCATCTGAACTAAAGTTCAGTAATCCAGTACAAAACAATCATAAAAAGAATCCCTTTGAGATTAAAAAAACTTACCTTTATGATCCTAAAGTCATTTTGTCTTTCAAGTTAAATAGGTTAATTATTGACAAGCGTTAATAAGATTGTTAAGTACTCAGAATAGCGAATAATGGTTTTAGATCTTCAGTATGTGTAATTACCATTATTAAGTAAACCCTCAAGCAACAAAGTCCCAAGGTGCATACATCACCAGGGTTGAAAGGAAAAGGGTAAAGGATGTAGAAATAATGATTAGGTAGAGCCAAGTTTTAAAAACCTTTAAGTTACATGATGAAAGAAAGCTGGGGAATTAAACAATTACAACAGATAACCATACAATGATTCTTGAACCAAATGTAGTCAAGATTCAGGAAGAAGACAGATATAGGATAGCTTCATTGTTAAAAACAATTTTTAATCAAATCTTTAAACAAAAATAAAACAAAACTGCATATTATTCATTTTAGAAGTCTTTGTCACAGACTTTTTTCCTGAGCGAAACTCAAGGAGAACTCATCAGCCAGCAAAGCAAGCTGAGTGTAAATGTAAAGTACTGGTATCAGAATGTGATTTCAAAAGTGACTATAGAATGGTTGCCTTTGAGATAATATTTAAAACCAACAGTTTGCTTAATCAATTAATCTTTACTTCATAGGAAGTTGCATTTAACGTTGCTGAATTGAATTTCCCTCAGGATATTCCACTTTTTCAATCTATAGTCAACAACTTACCATTGCTTTCTGTCTTGTTATTGGACAGTCTGTAGATGCAACAGCTTTGAGTCATACTGTGACAAGCCTCAAACCTAACACCATGTATGAGTTTTCAATCATGGTAACCAAAGGGCGGAGGTCAAGCACATGGAGTATGACTGCACATGCTACAACATATGAAGCTGGTGAGTTTTTACAAGCTACCCAAATAAATACATTTGATAGCTCTTTTTGGCTGGATGGATGTGCAATTTTCTACTCAAACTTCTGTAGCTCTAAGAGTTTTGCTTTGTTCTTTTTGGCCATGTGAATAATAAAAGCCATTATGGATACAAACAGAAAAGTTCATTACATACAAACTTGTCACATTTTTGCCAAACAGTGAAGAACTTTCTTTTTAGGTGTCACATTTTACACTGGGGAAATCCAATCGCTTGATTCATGCTGAGTGCACAGGCTATTGTAGACTTTACAGTCCATCTGCTTGATTGGTACATGTGTAGTTCAGCACAAAGTTGTTACAGGCTGCACTTCTTTTGTCGGAGCCAATTAAGAGACGATAACAACAGTGAAAATGCATGGGGCAGACGAGAAAATTCACCCATGAGTGCAGTGCTCCGAGTGCCAGTGACCTGGGGCATTTCATCCTTGACTAGCTGTGGAGACATGGCAGCGCAGTGTTCTTCAAGAGGTACCCACGAAAGCAGCAGTGTCAGAGCAGGTGTGGGGGGTGGTGGAGATGTACAGGAGGTAGCCTTGCCTGTGCTTCCTTTGAGGCATCCACGTTTGCTTCCTCAGTAGTGGAGAAGAAACTGTGTTCCAGTGCCACTGTCTTGAACACAGAGACCGTGACAAACCTGCTCATACCTGCAGGAGGTAGAGGAGAGAATGCATTGTGACCAAACGGTAGAAGTTGAGGCTCATTAACAATAAGTGCTGTAATGAAGGGCAGCACAAAAATAGACAGTGTTTATTGGTTACTGAGACGTTTCAGCATCTCTGCAGGACTGCTTTCTGTCCTTCCTGGCAAGGGTCAAGACGATTTAGGAAGGAGATGAAGAGACATTTCTTCATCTAAAGAGTGGTGAGCCTGTGGAATTCATTACCACAGGAAGTAGTTGATACCAAAACATTGAATGTCTTCAAGAGGAGACTAGATATAGCACTTGGGGCGAATAGGATCAAAGGATATGGAGAGAAAGCAGGATTAGGCTATTGAGTTGGATGATAGCCATGATCGTGAAGAATGGCAGAGCAGGCTCGAAGGGCCAAATGGTCTCCTCTTGCTGCTATCTTCTATGTTTCTATGTTTCTCTTTGCAAGTGGTGAGGAGCCACATGTTGGACACCCCACATAGCCATCCTGGAGTTTTCAGCTGGAGTGAGATTTAGTGCTGGTGGAGGTGGAAAAGTGATGAAACCTCATGAGTGAGTGAGTCGGCAGCAGAGAGCCTTGTAGAGTTAGTAATTATTGGGGAGTTGGGGGGTGGGGTGGGTTTGGTGTGGGTTAGAGCAAGTGAGGGAAATTATTGCAGCCAATAGTGAGAGTGATAGAGCATAAAGCTGGGTGGGAGGTGGAAGCAGTAGCCAAGGTAGAGTGAATGTGAGAGAAGAGTTGGCACTTATTCTGGCAGAGCAGAAAAGAATCATTGAACTTTGTGTGACATTGCTGGCCATTCCTACGGACAGTCGAGACCTCATTGATGCAGATGGTAACCTCAGACCAGGCTGGCAGGGTTGGGTGTCTTGGCCTCTTCTCTCAGTCCTGGGGGAAGACAACAATACTCCTCTGCACAACTTCATCCCCAGGACAGATTTCTCCAGATTCATATCTACAAAGTGGGGCTCCAAAATTTCCTCTTATCCATCACATCTAGGACAAGATGGCCTACCAATGCAGGGCAACTCCAGACTGCCAATATTTGATTGGGAGCACAATATCCTTCTAAAGATGGCAGCAGTACTAGTGCCAGTGATCTGGGAAATCCTGGTAGTGGCAAATACTTACGCGTATGATGAGTGGAAGACTTGAGCTAACATTGGATGGACGGCTCCAAAGAGGCGAAGTGCCTATTTAATGAGATGGGTTTGAGATGACCTAGTGAGAAAACCTGGAATTCCAAGCCTGGAATTACTATTACGACCTTCCTGGTTTTTGAATCTCACCTTCTCATTGAATAAAATTACAGAATCTCTACAGAAACTAATTGACTTTTGTTTTGTTTTGGCAACTGTATGGCTTACTGTCTGTGCCTCTACAGCTTAGCACTGCGCTTTGGAGCTCCATATTGCTTCTGTAACAACCACCCCTGCTCATAAGCTTTCAAAAATGCATGAGAATTATTATTTAAATCAAAGAGTGAAGACGGTATTCTTGAATGAAGCTGAAATATTAGAATCTGGTTCGGTGCCCCTTTGCACTATCTGTTGTTCGGTTAAGATTTGCACTAGGGAAAGGATTATTCAAACACTGCAACATAGCAAGGGATTGCTTCAGCATTTGGGTAAAATTCACTTTGTAGGTGAGTATGGTTGTCAGTAATAAACTACAATTAACAAGCTTTGCACTGTGGTTCACCTTGGGAAACGTTAGCTTGCCTATGAGAATTGGTTCCTAATGTGGGGAGAGCTGGGTTCTAATTCTAGGTAAGTGCACTTACCCCAGGCTGAACTATTGAGAGGTCTGAAACATGACTTGTGCAGTTTTGACCTGGTAGCCAGAAGTATAAATCTGCCAGAATTATTTGAAGAAGTAGAATGCCCTTTTGGAGAAATGTTAGTACTTTTGGACATAATCTGCTCCTTTCGGAGAGACAAGGTGTCATTTGGAGAGTCAGGGTGCCCTTTCCGATTGTTAAAAGCCAAAATGAATGTTCTTTAAGAGGTGCATAAACTCATTGGAACTATCAGCAGACATATCAGTAATGATGTCAAAGAAAAATGTCAAGCTTTAAAGAATTGAACAAATAAGTGTGCAGAGTTGAAACAAAATGGTGCTTACTATTTCACTACATCTGCTGATATAAGCCTGAGGGTAATTATTACTGTACTGCATGACTGATTTCACAACTCTTCACTATCGTACAGTTTGATTGACAACCCCAAGAGGTTGAAAACTATTTGAAGTTAGATTATGAATCCCAATGTTGGAAATTGTAACCAATCAAAGGAGATTAAATGTATTGAATGGATTTTTAATTACTTTGTCAATTGAAATTTAAGAACTTTTATTACATCTCAGAATTGGTCTTGAAGTCTGCCCATGTTGGATAATGGATGTATTGGCATGATTGGTGTATGGACTAAAGGTAATGGGTGAATGGCATAGGATGGCATAAGCTGGCATAAAGCCTTTAAAAGGCCATGTTGGCATGGAAGATACACGTGTCCCTGTGTGTGGTACAGAGGCACAGGCTTGCATCTGAGAAGCCATGGGGGAGGATTCATGGATGGGATATGGGGAGTGTGTGGAGGTGGCTGAGCAGGTTTGAGGTACTGATATTTACTACCTTTTTCATATCAGTGACAAAGTGCTGATGCATCTAGGCTGGTCTTTTTCCTAGCCAATCACACAGATATAGCTTAATGAGTAAGATCCCATAGCCATTTTGGAGACATGGTTACAAGGAGATCAAAACTAGGAACTAAATATTCATGGATATGTGACCATTCGAAAGCACAAACAGGAAGGAAGGGTGGAAGGGTAGTCTTTGTTGGTATGGGATGGAATATGTACAATAGCAAGAAATGATTGATTGATTGATTGATTGTCACGAGTACCGAAGTACGGTGAAAAGCTTTGTTTAGGAGCAGTACAGGCAGATCATAGTAAGCAAGGATGTACAGATCAGAGGTTGTAAAAAGTCTTAGACAGACATACAGGTTACATTGCACAGGGCGTGCGCTAGGCGAGATCAACGTTAGCAAGATCAGCATTATTTGAGGCTAGGGAGTCCATTCATCAGTCTAATAACAGTTAGGAAGTAGCTGTTCCTGAATTTGCTGGTACATGTGTTAAGGCTTCTGTATCTTTGATCAAAAGATATAGAATGTACATGGGGGGAGATAATACATAAAAAGGAGAAGAAGACACTGATAGGAATGATCTAAAAGGCCTCCTAACAGAAGCTATGCAGTGGGACTGGGAATAAATCAGGAGATAATGAGAGCAAGTAACAAGGCAGTATATTAATCATGGGGAATTTAATCTTCATGTAGATTCAGATAGTCAGATTGGCAGAGAAAACCATGAGGAAGAATTCAGAGTGTATTTGGGACAGTTTCCTAGAACAAAATGTTGAGGATCCTCCCAGTGACCAGGTTGTTTTGGACCTGATGATGTGTCATGTGGAGTATTTAATATATGTCATCAAAAAAAGTCCCCTGGGAAACAGTAATCATAACATGGTAGAATTTAGCATTCAGTTTGAGAGTGAAGAATGTGAGTCATAAATTACCGTGCTAAGGTTAAATAAAGGTAATTGCAAAGAAATGAGGACTTAGCTGACTTAAATGGACTGGGAAAATTGCTTAGCAACAAAAATGATTGAAGTACAATGTCAGGCATTGAAGAAAATAGCTAACAGTAACATAATATGATAGTACATAATGTGATCAAGCAGAGTATATAATTGAAATGAAAATTGTGCAATGTAGCAAAGGTTAGTGGTAAGGCAGAGGATTGGGCAAGTTTTAAAATCAACAAAAAGATGACCAAAAAGTAATAAAGAGGGAGAAGATAAACTTTACAGGTAAATTTATCATACCAATTAACCTCTATTTGTGCAGTGGACTGGTTGAGAAACCAAATAATTTCAAGATTGATGGTAAGAGTTTTTTTTTAAAGATTTATAATATGTAATAGGGAAGCAAAAGTGAACATAGACGTATTAGCGAATGAAGCTGGGAAATAATGGAGAACCAGAAAATAGTCGAGGAGTTTACATCAGTCTTCACAGTAAAAGACATTATTCGCATTCCAAAATTACTAAATGATAAGAGAGTAAAGGAAGAGAGGAAATAAATAAAATATCTATCTCTAGAGAAAAAGTGCTCAGAAAACCAATGGGGCTAAAGATCGATAAGTGCCCTGGACCTAATGGGATACATCCCAGGATATTAAAGGAAATAGCTATGGAGATATTGGATGTACTGATAGTAATCTTCCAGGAATCTGTCAAAGTCTCAGAGGATTGAAAAGCTGCCAATCTAATACATTTATGTGAAAAGGGAAGAAGACAAAACCTGATAACTATAGACCAGTTAGCTCAACGTCTTCTATTTGGAAAACATTAGAGCCTATTATAATGGATACAATAGCAGAGCATTTAGAAATACATAATATAGCCAAGAAGCATGTATTAGCATGTATAGGGGATTGGCTAACCAGTAGAAGACAGAGGGTTTGAATAAGGGAAGCATTTTCACGATGGAAATCTGTAAGCAATGGTTTGCCACACAATCAATGCTGGGGCCGTAGTTATTGACAATATATGTTAATGACTTGGATGAGAAAGTGATCTTACTGTAGCTAAGTTGCAGATGACACAAAAATAAGGCTGCTTGGCAGGGTGTATTCAAGTGGTTCTTTTCAGATTCAGATAAATGTAGTTAAAAGAAGACTCAACAATAGCAATTTGCTTAAACATGAATATTTATTAAGTAATAATAAAAGACAAAAAAGGAACATTTATTAAGTAAATAAAAAGAATGAAAAAGAAAGGGAAAAAAAAAATAAGCCTCACGCCCTTCTGCCCATCGGGGACCCCTCAACTGACAGCTGGTCTGGAGGCTGAGGTTGTTCCTGGCACCATTTGCGATCCTGGTCCAAAGTGAAGTCCAATGACTTGGAACAAAACTCTCTCTCTTATACAGTATTACAAACAGGAAGTACAGAAAACAGTATAGAAAAGCAACTTTGGTAATGCCATCTTTGGCGCATACAATAATGTACACAGGACTCATTCAAGGTTATGAAGCTGTTGAATATCATCAACAATTTTAGCTCTTCAGCCTATCCTATACATAGATAGAAATGCAAATGGTGAGGGTGAGACAAAACATCTGAAGAGGGATATAGACAGGTGAAAGGAGTGGCCTAGCATTTGACATTTGGTATATAATGTGGGAAAATGTGAATATTATTTAAATGTTGAAAGACTGTGGAAAGTTACAGAACAGAAGAATTTGGGAGTCCTCGTCTATGAATCACCAAAAGTAGCATCCAAGGTGGTTCAGTGGTTAATTGGGAAGGAAAATGGAGTGTTGGCCTTTAATTCAAAAGGAATAAAATATAAAAGTTGGGAAGTTTTGTCACCGCTACAAAGTATTAATCAGACCACAGTTAGAATACTGTGATTAGTTTTGGGTCCCTTATCTAAGGAAAGATACACTGGCATTGGAGGCTATCCAGTAAAGGTTCGCTAGGCTTCTACCAAGTATGCCTTATGAGGAGAGATTGTAAAGGTTGAGCCTTTACCCAGTGTGTTTGTGATGCAGAGTGACAGCCTTGACATGGGTTCAGCTCCCACACTGGCGTTTTGACCTCTCTCACATGAGGCAAGGTGACCTTCAGTTTAAACTCATCACCAGTCATCTCCCTCTCTTTCTCTCCAATGAAAAAGCAGCCTGGTTATTTGGTGACTACTTTACTACTACCAGTTCATGGAATTTCGAAGAATGAGATGTGGCCTTATTGAAACATACAAGATTCTGAAAGAACTTGGCAGGATAGATGTGGAAAGGTCTTTGACCTTGTGGGAGTCTATAAGCAAAGGACATAACCTCAAAATAAGGAATTGAATATTTAAGAAAGAGATGAGGAGAAATTTTTTCTCTGAGGGTTGTGAATCTGTTGAATCACTTACCACAGAGGGCTTTTGGGGCTGGATAATAAAGTGTATTCAAAGTCAAGTTAGACAGATTTTTAATCAATAAGAGAAACAAGGGTTGTAGGGAAAAGGTAGGAAAGTGGAGTTGAGGACTATCAGATCAACAATAATCTTAGTGAATGGTCGATCAAACTTGATGGGCTGAATGCCCTACTTCTGTTCTTACATGTTATGATCTGATAGTCACCCGACAGTCTGTGCACATTCATCTGTGTGACTCCAAGAAAACCCAGCCTTCTCGCAATGAAAAATCCAACTTTCACAGTATTTTTCCTGGGTCAGGTATGCAGAGCCTGGAATTATCCTGACTAGGCATCCTGGACCCTGCAGCAAAGGTTTAGCCTATTGTTTCAGATTCAAACTTGAAGCGACTTGCTTAGAATGAAGACTCATTTTCATGTCTTGTCTGTAACATTAGAAACGTTCAGTAGCAAAAAGCCGTAAGCTATTCACTATTGCTTTCTCTTTCCTTCCCTCTGCTTTCTACTTGGGTAATAGCTCCCACTTCAGCCCCAAAGGACCTGACTGTGATTAACAGAGAAGGAAAACCTCGAGCTGTCATCATTAGCTGGCAACCGCCAATGGAGGCCAATGGAAAAATCACTGGTAAAGAAGCTTAATTTCTATTCCATTATTTCCATTCATATTCTCAATGTAACTTTGCAATTCCTTTCTGGATAAATCTGAGATAGAAACTCTTGCGAATTCTACCCAATGCTGTTCATCATCCTATTTAATTATTATAATTCAAATTTCTATTAAAAGAATCAGTTTTTGCAAGCAACTTCTGGCATATTGCTTGACTTTTCATGACAGATCCAGCCCGTAGAAATGTTTTAGACAGTGGAAGCTCCAGTGAAAATCATTTTAGACTATTTATTATTAAAGTGGTTAGCCACTATTAGGAAAGAAATTAAAACTGACTGGTTATTTTGTGTATCTCATTGTGCCAGCTCTCATTTACAGGTATCCTGCTTCTTCATAATATGTTTTGACATTTCAACAGTGTATCATCCAATGTCTTGAATTCAAAGAGGCAGAAATGTTTTTAGATCTAAAAAGCCAAAGGCCCAATTTTTATCCCAAATTGCACTGCAGAAGGTGCTACCTTGAACTGCCACAATCATTGCTGTTAGTAAGGGAGTTGCAGGTTTTTGACCCAGTGCCAGTGAAGGGATGTTAATACATTTCCAAGCGAGGATGATATGTGGCTTGGATGGATACTGAAAGGTGACATGCCTCTTCTGCCCTTGCCAATCCAGTTCGTAAAAGTTGTGTGTTTTGAAGGCGCTCAAAGGAGCCTTAGTAACTTCCTGCTGTGCATCTTGTAGATGATGCATGCTGCTATCACTGTGCATTGGTGATGAATGGAGTGATCATTGAAGGTGTGGATGTGGTTCCAATCAAGTGGGCTACATTGTCCTAGATGGTGTAGACCTTCTTGAGTGTTGTTGAAGTTGTACTTATCCAGGCAAGTGGGGACTATTTTACCTCACTCCCAACTTCTACCTTGTCGATGGTGGGTAGGGTTTAGGAGTCAGTGGGTGAGTTATCCTTCACAGAATTCATGGCTTGTGACCTTATCGTGTAGCCACAGCATTTAAATGACTGGTATAGTTCAGTTTTCATCTATGGTATCCTCCAAGTGGATTCAGCTCTAGTAATGCTATTAAACATCACGGGGCAATGGTTAGGTTGTTTTGTATTGGAGATGGCTATTGCCCGGTATTTGTGTGTTGCAAAGATTACTTGCTACTTAGCCACCCAAGCCTAGATTTTGTCCGGGTCTTGCTGTGAATAAGCAAATTCAATATTTTTGTAGTCACGAATGCTGCTGTACATTGTGCAATCATTAGTGAACATCCTGACTTATATTAGGGTGGGGGTCATTGGTGTAGAGGCTAAAGATGGTTTGGGGTAGAACCCTACCCTGAGGAACTTCTGCAGTCCTGGGACTGACATTATTGTCCTCCAGCAACTATCTTCCTTTGTGCCAACACAGTGTGGAGCTGGAGGAACACAGTAGGCCAGGCAGCATCAGAGGAGCAGGAAAGTTGACGTTTCGGGTCGGGATCCTTCTCTTCCTTTGAGCCAGGTTTGATACAAAGTAACAGAGTACCTCCCACTGAATCTTGTGTGAACATGTGAATACACAAGCAAGGAGCAGAAGCCAGCCTGCTCTACCATTTAATAAGATCTTGGCTGATTTGATTGTGATCTCAAATCCATATTCCTGCCTACTGCTGACAACCTTTCACCTTCTTGCTTACCAAGAATCTATCCATCTCTGTCTTAAAAACATTTAAAGACTCTTCTTCCACTGCCTTTTAAGGAAGAGGGTCCCAAATATTCATGACCCTCTGTGACGATAAGTTTCACTGTTGACTCCAGTTTTGCTAGGGCTCCTTGACACCACATTCCGTCAAATGCTACCTTGATGTCAAAGGCAATCGCTGTCGCTCTCAGTGAGTAAGTTCTTGCTAACCAGTGTTGCTTGATAGCACAGTTGATGACACCTTCCATTACTTCACTGATGATTGACATTAGACTGATGGGGATGTAATTAGCCATGTTAGATTCATCCTGCACTTTATTGACAGAACGTACCTGGGTAATTTTCCACATTACCAGCGTTATAGCTGGAGCAGCTTGGTGGATTCTTGAAGAGCATATGTCTTCTTTATTATTGTCAGATTGATGTCAGGGTTCATATCATTTGCAGTATCCATTGCTTTCACCATTTCTTGATATCACATGGAATGAAGTGAATTGGCTGAGGACTGGCATCTGTAATGCTCGGGACCTCAGGAGAAAGCCGCAATGGATCATCCATTCAGCACTTCTGACTGAAGGTGGATACAGAGACTTCAGCCTTGTCTTCTGCACAGCTCGGCTCCTCTGTTATTGAAGACGGGAAAATATTAGGCCCCTCCTCCTCCTAGTTGTTTCATTTGTCACCATCACTCCCACCTGAATGTGGTACGACCACAGTGCTTAGACCAGATCTACTGTATGTGGGATTGCTTAGCCCTGTCTGTTGAATGTTATTTTCCCCATTTGGCACAAAAGTAGTCCTGTATCATAGCTTTAGCAGGTTTTTAGTCTGCTTGGTGATGTTTCAGACATGCCCTCCTGCTGAAAGCTTATTCCATTTCCTACATTTCAGAGACATGCATTATTAACTGCTACAGCATCTACCACTTGAGTTAAACTCTATTAATTAATCTGCTGACTAGTGTATCATCAAATCCCAATGATTCTGGCACAATTGTTAATATTTTAATTTTGATGTGGCACAGTGGTAGTGTCCCTACTGGGCCAGAATATACAGATTCAGCTTCCACCTGCCCTGGATCTGTGTCATAACATGTCCGAACATGTCCAATTACAATACACAACTACAATATACAACTACACAGAGTTAACCAATTAGCAATACATTCTATACCAGCTAGAATTAAATAGCTTGTTGTGATTTGAGGACTCTAATTTACTGCAGAATGAATGTTTTTTCTTGTGAAACCACTCAAACTAGTGACTGTTTTTTAAAAAATGCTTCCAATTTTCTCCCCACTTGCTGGATAATGGTTTCATGGTTGCACCTGTGATATCTTGCCCAAGTAGTCATTTCTCATGTGTGAACCGAGGTGATAACTGTCAGCAACAGACTACCAAAGCTGAGTGTAGAGTTTATCAAGGAAAATCCTGCTTGCATATGATCTTCACAAACAAATGCCTTCTAACCTTGACCACTGGACTGATTCGAAGAAGCAATTTACTTCTCCCTAACTCAGGAGTAATAAGACCAATTGTAACATACACATTGACTCCTGATGGGATCAGTAATTTATTATAAATGGAGACTAGGATTTGTGACTTTTTTGGTCTACACAACTCAGAAACGCACTACTTACTTGACTCCTAATTGCACGCTATTGGTTTTCAGTGAAAGCAATTTTGTCATCATTTGCAAATTTCATAGATTCATACGGTGCAGAAAAGGCCATTTGGCCCATCGAGTCTGTACTGAGATATCTACCACTAAAAGTGCGCTAATCCTAATTTCTTGCACATGTCCCACATCCTTGAATGCTTATGAAAGTTGAAGTACTCATACAAATATTTTTTAAGAGGTGTAAGGTTTCCAGCCTGCACTACCTTCCCTGGCAGTTCATTCCAGATTCCCACCACCTGCTGAGTGAAAAAGTTTCTTTTTTCCCAAATCCCCTTTGGATCTCCTACCCTTACCCTAAAGCTATGCCATCTCATGATTGACTCCTCAACCAAAGGGAACAGCTGCTCTCTATTCACCCTGATCATACCCCTCATAATCTTGCCTCATGCCCCCCTAAGTCTTCTCTGCTCTAAAGAAAGCAATCCAAGCCTATCTAGTCTGTCTTTATAGCTCAATTTCTCCACTGAGACAACATCCTGGCGAACATCCTCTGTACCTCCTCTAATGCTATCACATCCTTTCCTGTAGTGAGGTGACCAGAACTGCACACAGTATTCCATTTCCCGACAGCGTGACCTATTGTATTCCTGCAATTCCTTGCATCCTAAACCTCAACTTGCAACCTTAGGTATTCCAGTTCTGGCTTCCTCTATGTTGGTTATGTCTTTTGATCCAATACTCTGAAATTCCTTCCTGAAACCCATTCACATTATTGCTTCCCTCATCAGCTTTAAAAATCTTTTGATTTACAATCATATTTTAGGATGTCATTTTTCTTCTGTTTGAAGCACCTTGGGATAATTCCTATGTTAATGGGACCCAAGGTAAGTCAATTTATTTTGTAATGAGTTTGCATCTGATTCAATAACTCAAATACTGTGAATGTCACGTAAATGGTGAACTTACCTCATTAACACATTAAAATAAAACAAAGAGCTGTGGATCCTGAAGATCTGAAACATAAACAAAAACTTCTACTGAATCTTAGTAGGTCTGTTAGCATTTGTGGAGAGAAAACAGAGCTAACATTTCAAATCAGAACATTAACTCTGTTTTCCCTCTACAGATAGTGCCAGACCTGCTGAGTTTCTCCTGTTATTTTTGTTCTTGTTTCATTAACATATTGTTGTTACAAAATAATCTAATGATCTTTTCCTTTACCTTTAGGCTATTTTTTGTTTTATACTGTAGAGAAGAATGCACCCATTGATGAATGGACAATGGACTCAGTGAGTGGCGATAGATTAACCCATCAGATTCTGGATCTCAATTTGGACACAATGTATTACTTCCGGATTCAAGGACGAAATGCCAAAGGCTTGGGACCCGTGTCTGAACCTATTCTGTTCAAAACACCAAAAGGTTGGGTTTCAATACCAATAATTAAAGCATATACATTAGTGACATTACAGAATTGTGCTAATTTTGTAGCTTGCGTTGAAAGTGATTTATTTTGTGGAACATTTTAATATTCAATTGTTCTGAAGGCGCTTTTCAAGAGAATTTCAAGCATTTTATGATGACAGCAGAGAGAAAATATGAATTTCTTTTGACATAGAATTTAGAAAAGAATACAATGGAATATAAAGGAATAATGCTTTAATCAATATGCATGCAGGTTATGATAACTCATCAATAAGTTTGAATATGTTTCCTCATGAGTGAAGTAAGCTGAGTATCCTGATGTTTACTGTTTATTTAACATACACAGATAAAAATGTGAATATACAAATTATAATACCAATTCTTAAAACTCCATAGTGTGCTTTAGAAACTCTATTATGCCATTTGAGCTCCCTCTAGCCTTTTGAGGAATATGTAGAGACATTCTTGAAAAGCTACAAATTGGCCTTTAAAAATCATGGGATGAAGTAAATCCATGATTCATAGGATCATACAATACTGAAAAGGACTTTCAGCCCATCAAGTCTAGTACTGTCAAAAATACACTAGCAGCTACACGAGTCCCATTTTCCCACATAAGCCCATAACCTTGAATGTACACTTCAAATATTCATCCAAGTACTTTTTAAATGTTGTGAGGTTGTTAGACTCGACTACCCTCCCACGCAGTGTGTTCCAGCTCCCCCACCACACTCTGAGTGAATAAGCTTCTGGGGAGCACATTATAATTCCATCCAACTTTCTGACTCAACGTTCTGGTATGTCCTTTGGCCAGTACGTCTATGCATTGAGCTAAGCATGAATATCAAAACAAAAATATCTAAAAATGACAGCCCAGAAGTAATTTTAAAAATACCAGTGGGACTACGGCATTTATGTGTAAATCAGAAGTAGTTTGAATCAAGTGCAGATGCATAGTTAAATGTGGAAATCCGAATGTTGCTGTTTGGTTCCCTGTTCAAATGTATCAACTGGAATGCATCAGAGCATATTAAACTAACAAAAAATAGTTAGAGTTCATCCATTTCATGTTAAGTGTGTTTTTTAATGGCATGCTAAGTCTTAATTACTGACAAACAGCTTCTCAGGCACTGAATGTTAACTTTTACATTTATCAACACACATTCTTTTAACTTTTAATTGTTGTTGGATTTTTTTATATTGCAAATTAAGCTGTTGTTTGAAATTTTCTTTCTGATCCTGTATTTCTCTGTCTGACTTTATCCATTCTTTCTTTATCTCTCATTATTTCACTGACTATATCACATTTGACACTGACTTCAATATTCTAACTTGCACTTCCAGATTCAGACTCTACGCTGTTCATTAACACTTCTTCACTTGTATTAGTTAAAGAGGGGCAATTGTTTGCCATGTCGGCACAAGTCCCAGATCCCCTGTAAAGGATGTCACAGTCTTTTGTTCTCACATTTACAGAAATTTTTTGTGAAAAAGCTCAAAAAAAGTCAGTTAGCCAAGGACAAGCCTAAAGGAGGAGTAAGTTCCAGCCTGAAATGTATATCAAATCCTTTGATCAATGGTCACCAGTATTTTGTATTCTCGAGATCTAATAGTTTAGATCTGGGGGGATTTCCAAATTCAAGCATTTACTTGCTAATGTATGGAACTGGCAGCAAGTTATCCTACCTTTATAATTACTGTTTCTTTCCAGTTTTCTTTATCAAAACAAGAGGATCTGTTCATTTTCCTCCCTTGAGTGAGTGGACTGATAATTTGGTTGTGCACATTTAACATTGGACAGTAATTTTGTATAGTAATTAATTTGTAAGCTGTTTGTCCATTCATTCCTGAACCATAGTAAATCTTTTTTTTTTAACCTGACTTAAACAAGCACATACTAGCCAGTAATTTATTAGTCTAAGAACAAGTCAGCATACTGTCTTTCATCCTTCTTCCTAAGTCTGTTTTAGATCCTGCTAGCATTGTTAGTGTTGCAATGAGAGTTGCACTTTCTTTGAGATTGAGAAGACCAAGAAAAAATGAAGAAGAATAAAAAAAGCTATGATGTTGTTAGCTTCTTATTTTAAATCTATCTATATAAATAATATGTTTTAAATGTGCTTTTCATTCATGCCTGTGATTCTGTTGAATTCACAATAAGAGGTGTGATGCAGAATAATGAAAAAAATCAGAAGCCAAGCAAAATTACTCAGATTGGAGTACAAGAATAAAGAACTCTTACTACAATTACAGAGGATACTAAATAGGCCAATAGTTTTTGAGTCACCATCTAGCAGATCTTTGGAGTTTATCCTACGGCTCTTAGTGTATTCCGAATCATATCGTTCAAATCTCTCATATAATTAAGGACAACAAACCACTTGGCATCAATGACAGGTTCCATTACATTAATTTTAGCTTTGAAGCTGTCAGTATTTTGCTGTTCTTGCTTCCTTTTCATTGAGAGTACTGTATTGTAGATTATTGCTTGAAGTACTTTTACATCTTTGACAGTATGTCAAGAGTGCTTGAAACATATATGAAGAGATCAAAAAGGCAACAGGTCAATAAACAAGTAAAATTACTTAATTGAAAATAAAGACAGGAAGGTCCTCCCTGACTGCGATAAATCTGAGCAGACCAGAGAGATGGGTGCATCTGCGTCAACACTCAAGAAGCTTGACACCACCCAGAACAAAGAAACTCGTTTCATTGGCACTACAACCACAAGCATCCACTCCGTCCACCACCGACGCTCAGTAGCAACAGTGTGTACTACCAACAAGATGCACCACAGAAATTCACCAAAGATCCTCAGACAGCACCTTCCAAACCCACAATCACTTCCAACTAGAAGGACAAAGGCAGCAGACCTGGGAATGTCACCACCTCCAAGTTCCCTCCAAGCCACTCACCATCCTGACTTGGAAATATATCACTGTTCCTTCACTGTCGCTGGGTCCAAATGCTGGAATACCCTCCCTATCATCATTGTGGGTCAACCTACAGCAGGTGGACTGCAACGGTTCAAAAAGGCAGCTCACCACCACCTTCTCAAGGGCAACTAGGGACGGGTAATAGATGTTATGTTCACATCCCGTGAGTGGATAAATTCTTAAAAAGTCTACACAAGGTGTCTCTTTACATACCAGAAATGACAGAAAGCTGCTCAGCATTGCTCATCTGAAATGAAAGTGCACCAAGTCCTTGTAAGAACTTTGTGCTGATGCCATTGCACTAGCATTCCACACTTTGGAATACCCTCAATGATAAATGAACAGACTCTCTCATGCCTGCAAAGAGTTTTATATAATCATCAGCATCAGGAAGAAAAATATTATGGTCCAGAGTGTTGCAATCTATCAGCTTTGACAATATGACACCATTGATAGCTTCGTTTTTTAGACTCTATAATCATGGATAATCATGTGACTTGGTGCTGAAATCAGCACATGCATTGCAAAACATGTCACTGTTGAGTCTATGCTGAGAAGGAGAATGAGGTAGAACAGCAATTGAAACAGAAAGTACTGGAAAGCTCATACATCTGGGAGGATCTGTAGAATGCTAACATCTGTGGATGCTGCCACACCCTTGTGCTATTCCAGCAGTTTCTACTTTTATTTCAGATCTCAAGCATCTGCAGTACTTTGTTTTATTTTAATGGAACAGTGACCTGATTGAGAACACCTATGATAAATTGACAAAGCCTGAATCCTTCGTACACCCCTCTGCATTGGTGAGACCTGGATAGCATCTGCTAGGCAGGAGAAAAGGCTGAACAGTTTCTACCTTTGCCATTTCATATGTATTCTCAGAATCATTTGACATAACAGGGTCACAAACTCAGAGGTCTCTGAGTATGCTAACTCGATCTGCATGCACTCATTGCTAAACCAATAATGTCCATGCTGGCTCAGCCACATTCATTAGGTGGATGATGGACAAATCCCCAAATTCTTCTACCTGGTGAATTGATCAATGAATCATAACCTCCCAATGTTCCCTCTCTTGGTACACAGCACTTGAAAATGAGATCTGAGGATGATGGACATCGGTATTGACAACTGGGAGACAGTTGCCATTGTTCTTGACCTCTAGGTGCTGTTTGGAGGGGCATTGGAAAAGATGAGCAGGAATGAAAAGCTCAGCAGACCGAAAAGAGAGTCGAAAGAAAACAGAGGCCAGCAGATTATGTGCCTTCTCAGCCCAATATCCTCGTCTGCACCAAATACAGCAAAGATTGTCATGCTCCTGAGTCACACCTGGAAAGGCTGAGCATAGCGCTGACAGCAGCAGTATTTTATGAAACAAAAGGCTGCAATTGTTCATTGGCAATGTCACATCCAGAGTAATGTGTACAATTTTCGTGGCATGATTGAATTACCTTAGAGAAAGAGCAATGAAAGTTGACTTGTTTCTGGTGTGAGTGGATTGCACCCTGAGGGGAGAATGAGCAGGCCAGTCCCTTATTCCTTACATTTTAGAAGAACGGAAGGAAGGTAAACTATTTGTATGAAGTTTAACAGGATACACAAATTGAGAAAATTTTTCTCCTTGCTCAGGAATCTAGAATGTGAAGACATTGTTGGCACACTCTCAGAAAGGGTTTTGTCATTGGTGCTGAGAAAAAGTGGAATTTCTTCACTTAATGGGTTGTGAACGTTTGGAATTCTCCACCTTCAACAACTGTCGATGTCTGGATGTTGAAAATATTCAAGACACTATCAATAGATATTTTTGGGCACCAAGGGAATGACGAGGTGTAGAGACACTATAGAAAGGTAGAGTTGAGAAGGAAAACCTGTTGAATGATGGAGTAGGCTCAAAGGGCCAAGGTGCCGATGCCTGCTGCTATTTCTAATGGTTTCATATTTTTGTTTTACTTGAATTTCTCTGAGAGTTTTCCAATGGGTGATTGGAAATTCTGAAAAAAATGGAGTAAATCAATAAAGATGACATTTACTTAAAGGTTTCTGCTATCTTCCACCATAATT